TATATATATATATATATATATATATATATTTTTCTAAAAATATGTTTATTAAGAAAGTTGCGAAATATTCTATCAACAACGTAAGCAGGCAAATCATTTTGCTTAAAATTATTTACTGTTATTGAATTCTCCTGTACATCTTCATAAGTGCTAAATATTTTATATGCAAGATCGAACAATTTTAACCAAGTTTTCTTTAAAAACATTTGGTATAAAACCTACGAAATTAAAAACATAAACAAGTAAATGTTTTCTATGACATGTTATTCTTATTATTGTAATTCAAAGCGTCCAGAAATGCGAGTTTATGATCTTCTTGATGTTTGACGTAAATTTTATACTGTTGTGCTTACTATTGAAGAGCTCAAGAAATTGAGAAGCTTGATCAGAATTTCTGAAAATGATAAAAAGTGTCATCCGCATATATTCGAGAATAAAGCGATTTGAATGTTTTGGGGAAATCTCCCAATTATTTTTCATGGTAAAAAAGACTATCCAAGAGTGCACTAGTCCCGAACACATAGCGACACCACAAGTCTGATCGTAAATATTGCAGTTAAAAATAAATTGGGATTATAATGTAGCGAAGCTCATCACCTTCAAAAAGAAGGATTTAGAAATATTAAATTTGTTGGAGCTGTTGTTGTTGTCAAAGATCAGATCAACACTTAACTGTACAGTCTCTTCCAATGGTATGTTTCTGTATAACAACTAAACGTCAAAGCTGGCTTATTGGACACCGCTAACAAACTTCATTTTTGAATTTTATTCATTTATGGTGGAAAGATTTCAGGAATTTAACTGAGCCCTCGAATAAGCCAGGTGAGCTAAGCAACGTTTTGGATACGTTACATTGATGACTTTTTTTTTTTCATTTAGGTAGGAGACGAAGATTCATTACTGTCCTATTATAGACATGTTAACACCTTCCACAGTTGTATTAAATTTACTCTAGGTTACTCCATTACCCAAATAAGTTTCTTGGATGTAAACCTAACTTTAAAAGATGGTGTTCTACATATTGATTTGTACCTTAAACCAACTGGTAAACCACAATACTTACATAATCAAAGCTGTCACCTGAAACAATATCACATTCAATCAAGCACTTAGATTAAAGAAGATATGATCTGACAGTAAGAACTATGACCATCACATGAATTCTTTGAAACAACCTATGACTGAAAGTTCACTTATAGTTGATTATTCTTCTTCAGGGAAATATATATACATATATATATACTGAATCGTAAAGCGTTTGAAGAAGAAAGGGGGAATCATCAAGTTAACAACTAGAGACAAGAGCATTAATATCACTTAATCTGTACAAAAACAAAAATTATGCTGTATTGACATAAGACATTTTTCTTGGACGAACAAATTGCTGCAAAATTTACTAGTGTACTATTTTAGATAGCTGTAAAATATACAGAAAATAATACTGGTGTAGCATTTTAGATAGCTGTAAAATATACAGAAAATAATATTGGTGTACCACTTTAGATAGCTGTAAAATATACAGAAAATAATATTGGTGTAGCATTTTAAATAGCTGTAAAACATACAGAAAATAATATTGGTGTACCATTTTAGATAGCTGTAAAATATACAGAAAATAATATTGGTGTACCACTTTAGATAGCTGTAAAATATACAGAAAATAATATTGATGTACCACTTTAGATAGCTGTAAAATATACAGAAAATAATATTGGTGTACAATTTTAGATAGCTGTAAAATATACAGAAATAATACTGGTGTACCACTTAGATAGCTGTAAAATATGCAGAAATAATACTGGTGTACCATTTTAGATAGCTGTAAAATATACAGAAATAATATTGGTGTAGCATTTTAAATAGCTGTAAAATATACAGAAAATAATACCGGTGTACAATTTTAGATAGCTGTAAAATATACAGAAAATAATATTGGTGTACCACTTTAGATAGCTGTAAAATATACAGAAAATAATATTGGTGTAGCATTTTAAATAGCTGTAAAACATACAGAAATAATATTGGTGTACCACTTAGATAGCTGTAAAATATGCAGAAATAATACTGGTGTACCATTTTAGATAGCTGTAAAATATACAGAAATAATACTGGTATACAATTTTAGATAGCTGTAAAATATACAGAAAATAATACTAGTGTACTATTTTAGATAGCTGTAAAATATACAGAAAATAATACTGGTATACCACTT